AGCACCACATGCAGCAGTTACACTCCGAGCTGGAGTCTCTTTTCCCCTGACTGAGGAGTCCCTCTTTCTGTCCCCTACAGCCCCTTTCCCTGTCCAGCAGTGCCAAGCAGACAGGGGCTGGAGGAGCCGGAGGTGATGGCAGGCTCTCTGATGGAAACAGCCCTGCCACGGGGCAGTGAGTGAGGGAATCCTTCTGCTGTTAGCACCCACAAAGTGTTGGGTGCTGTGAGATCCTGGAGGAAGCTGGGGGAGAAGCTTCCTTTGTGATGGCACAGCTCACCTTTGGTGCCTGGCCAGCCAAGCTGCCCCAGAAGAAAACCACTAAATCCATGAGACTATTCAGGCATCCCAGGTGGGTGTGATGATCAAAGCACAATGGTTCAGGGGCCAAGCAGAGAGAAAAGATCTGTGTTTGTGTGGCATCAGCAGATTTCCCCACAGCCCCCACTTTTTGGGCAACAGAGGAAGCTATTAAATGAGGCACATCCATAGTGGTCCCAGCAGGATGCTCTCCCCTATATGCTATCTTCTCTCTCCCTGCAGTCTAGCTACTTCCCGCACCAGCCTCTTTCCAGCTCCTTGCACTGGTGCTAATCCCCTAATCTGTGCAAAGCAACAATTTTCTGCATGGCACAGCTGCTGCTTTGAGATCTGCATCCCTCCTCCCCGCATAACCAGCTCCCTTATCAGCAGCAGGTATCAGGTGAGCCAGGCACCATCTACTTCTGATAAACCCGTGTTTTATTTTGCCCTATTTCCATTTATCTCCAAGCTTGTAATTATCCCTCATCTCGCAATGTGTTGTGCTGCCTTGTGCGCTGAGGAGTGGAGGTGACAGGTGCTTTGCCAGGCAGCCCTGGACCAGAGTCTTCCTGGTGGGATGCAAGGACCTGGTGAGGTGATGTTCCGGGACGGGTCCTGCCCACCATGCTGGCTGCTGAGCTACCCCTGCTCTCTCAGCACCCAGGCCGCATTCCCTTTAATCTTACACAGCGGTGGAGATGGATTCTCTCCCTGTGAGCCAGATGTGTTGCACGGAGCATAAACACCCGCGACAGTTGTTGTGCTCCTCGGTGCGAAGGCATCAGATGTCTGCATTAAAACAAAGCTCTCCACTTAATTACTCAGGCTGATAATTCAGCGCGTGGAGGCGGCTCTGGCTGAGAGCAGAGGGCTGGATCACAGCTGGGACTGGAGAGCCTTGAAGTGCACATTAATCCCAGCTCTTGCAGCCCTGATTAACGGTGCTGGAAACCTGCCCGCCCCACACATTCCCAGGGAAAGGTTCTGTTACTGCCCCACCAGAGGCGGCCCAGGCTGGTGCCCAAGTGGCTCTGCTGACCCCTTGCTAGGCCAAGGTGCCCCCTTCTCAGCATCTTTGGAATGGGGTGGTCCAGGACATGAGGGACTATCACTCTGAGGGTGTTGTGCTGCCCATCTACTGCTTCTGGAACCCATGGGAGCTGGGTGCAGTATGGTGAGGGTCAGGCAGGACCCCAGGGTCACCCTGCACAGGGACCTGCTGCAAGGGAGAACTAGAGACTGGAACTGCCGCTGGGTGGTGAGAACTGGAGACAGACCATGGCTGGGCTCAGATCAAGACCAGGCAGACCACCTAAGACCTTCCCCTTGGGGCCAAAGCTGCCTACTCCTGCTAACCTGAATTTCTCCTTCCAAGACCAACAAACACCTCCTACAAATTCTTTTTGCTCCCCTCAGTCATCACCAGGGCCTAGGGCCCTTCCTGGCAGAGTCCCTCACTCAACTGTGTGCCTAAGCCTGCAAGCACCTGCCCAGCTCTGCCAGTTTGTCTGGGATGGGATTCTTTCTTGAACCTATCTCCCCTTCTCTTCCTCCTGCCTCGTTCTCCAGCCCTGCCCCTACTCCCTTCCCTCTCCTCATTCCTCCCTGACCCCAGTGCACGGTCATCCCTGGATCTGGGGCATCCCTCTCCCAGTAAAGCCCCCAGCAGACTGGCACTGACGAAGATCTGCCTGTGGGGTCCTGTCTGTCCAGGGAGACTGATTTCCTCCAGCTCTGCTCCTGCCCTCTTATCTCTCTTCCCTTCCCCGCACATTTTGCTCTGTGGCCAGGGTGAGTGGGAGTCACAGACCCTATCCTGCCTGGGCTGAGCACCCAGGCTGGTGCTGGGCATGAAAGTCAGACAGACCCAAAGCAGGCAGGCAGGCAGATGCAGGCAGCACCATCCCAGCGGGGCTCCAAGAGTTAAGTTGTCATGTATTCAGGGCCATGCGCTGGCCAGGAATTACACTTTTATCGGCATGCGGTGCTGCCGCCACTTGAATTGGGACTGGGAACTCTATTTCCGAGCTCACCCAAATTATTCTCGAAGAGATAAAGCGCGGTGCAGAGCAGCGCCGGCGCTTCATTAACATTCCCCAGCCCATTCAGCTTTAAACGAAGATTGCCTGCCTCGGAAAATGATAAAATTGAACATGTGAAGCAGGGCATTATGTTCCATCAGCCGATATTATTTCCCACGCAGAGGCCGAGCAGAGACACAAACAGCTATTTATGCAGTGCCTGGCCAAGCCAGGGTGGCTTGGGAGGGGGGAACAGGCAGTGGTGGGGACACAGAGTGGGTGGCGAGTGCCCCCCTCCCATCCCTGGGCATAAGAGGGGCTGTCTGCATACTGCCAAGGCTGCTCTGACCTTCTGGGGGCTTCCAGGCTTGTACCCAGAGTGCAAGGTGGGTCTGGAGACCACAGACCTGCTCCATGCGTGGTGTGGAAAGGGGCTCAGGGGTGTGTGGGTTCCCCCAGGCAGTGCTGGCAGGGCTGGGGCATCTCTGTCTGCTGCCCTGACCCAGAAATTGCATGTCCCCTACCAGACCTGAGCAGGTGGGGTGCTGGCTCCATGTGCAGGATGGGGTCTAACCTCGTGGGTGGGTGCTGGGCCAGTGGGGTTGGGGGCCATCCACAGCCAGGGAGCATGTGCCTCCCCAGAGGCAGGCAGGGAGGGCTAGGCAGGCAGGGGAGGGCTGAGCAGGAATGCCCCCGGGGCTGCAATTGGATTTTGCTTGGCCATGCTGAGCCTATCGATCCAGCAGTAATTAAAGTCGCTCCAAAACCTGACTCATATTCAACCTTGGAAGGAAGGAGCTTCTCTGAGAAACACCCTCTGCTTCCCGTGTGCTGGCATGGTGTGCAGCAAAGCCTTGCCAAGGTGCTTCCAGCCCATCCCTTTGGGTAGATGGGCTCTGTCCCAAAGAGGGACCCTGCCTTGGGACTGCCTGGGGCCCAGGCAGCAGCACCCATCAGGCAGCATTCTTGCCAGTGTCCCTGGCATCGCACAGCCCTGCTTGTGAATGCTGATGAGGTTCAGCCCTTGAGGGGGGGGTCCATGTTACCTGGACTCTATAACTGTTCTCTGGACCCTGGCTATTTTTTCCCCATGTGACCGAGACACATCCCTGGGATGTGGTAGTGCTCCCCCATGCCCCTTTCTTGTCATTGTCTGGGCCCAATGAGGGACTGACATAGGGAGAGGAGCCTATTGAATCCACAGCCACTCCTGAGAGGCACCGGGGTGTTGGGGTGGACCTGCTGCCACATGTCCACAGGATGTAAAACCCCTTCTCCAGTTCAGAGGCAGCCGCGGAGGTGTGAAGGCAGGTGAGGAGCCTGCGAGG